TGAAGAGAAGCCATCAAGATATTTGATAACATTGTTGATTATTGACACAAGAGTGAGACCATTCGAGATTAAGAGTTTGGAACAAAGAGAGCCATGAATACCCCCATTGGCGTATTACCAAAACCATATGTCATTAAGATCGCAAGATTTAAATCAAGCAGATGTGGCAGATGAGCCTCACCGTTTGGAGTGCCCAGGGCAAAAAATGAAAACAAAAGGATCTTACCTTGAGAAACAAACCATTCACGCTTCAGTTGGCAAAGGACTCTTGAGAAATAATTTTGATTGAATGGTCGAGTCAGGGACATGTAAGGTGCCAAGTCGTCTACCCTATCGCAACAAGAAATCAAGAGAGAAAACACTTCTTCTGACATTATGTTGCAGAAGCAAGACAAAAGATAGAAGATAGGAAGGGACATTATTGTACAAGATGATTAGTTTGATCATGTTGATATTGGGGGCAAAATCCATACAAGAGTGATCAAGTGAAGGAAGACCTAGATCTACTTTTGAAAGTCAAAAGAGGGTTATTTGATAAACATTTATGCACATAAGAGAGTCATGCATTACATATAGATACATATTGCATTCACATTTCATGCATCAAAGCATATATTTACCGATTTTTCAAGAAAAGAAGAGAAGGAAAGACATAACTCAAGCCTTGAATGAAGGGAATTATATTCCGAGTGGCAGAACCTCAAGAATTGAGGAACCCAATCCAAGAAGAATCATTACTTTGATGTGGGAGCACGTTACCCAAACAACATGATATTTTCAAAATAATTTCTAAAAGAAACTAAGCCTAATTTTTAGGGGTTTCTTGATGTTTTCGAATAAGTTTTTAGAAACTAAGCCTGATTTTCAGGGGTTTCTTGATGATGATTTCCAATGAATTTTTAAAAGAAGCTAAGCCTAATTTTTAGGGATTTATTGATGTTTTTAAATGAGTTTTTAGAAACTAAGCCTAATTTTTAGGGGTTTCTTGATGATAACTAAAACGAAAGATTTTAAGAAACTAACCTTTATTTCAAAGGGTTTCTTGATGAGTAAGTCCTTTGGGCCATCAGTAAGTCTTTCGAGCATTATGCTTAAATCCTTCAGGTCATCTATAAGTCTTTCGAGCAAGATGATAAGTCCTTCGGGTCATCCATAATACCTTCGGGTAGGATGTTTTCAACATTTTCTTTGCTCGATTCACGACATTTCAAATCAACAAAATGCACCACCAGAGGGGTTAAAATTTCCTTTGCTCGATTCACAACACTTCAAATCAGTAATGCCCCTCCAGAGGGGGTTAACATTTCCCATGGCTCGATTCACAACACTTTGAATCAGCTTAAGTCCTTCGGGCCATCAGTAAGTCTTTTGAGCATGATGCTTAAATCCTTCAGGTCACCTATAAGTCTTTTGAGCAAGATGATAAGTCCTTTGGGCTATCCATAAGACCTTCGGGAATTGTGTTTTCAACATTTCCTTTGCTCGATTCACAACACTTCAAATCAAAAACGCCCCACCAGAGGGGTTCACATTTCATTTGCTCAATTCACAACACTTCAAATCAGCAACACATCACTAGAGAGGGATCAACATTTCCAGTGGAAAGGTCATGATGAGAAGAACCCATAACTTAAAGAACTGAAGATGGAGACTCAACCGAGAGAATGAAGAAAAGACGACATCATTTGCAACAAGGAATTAACGATTACACATAAAGAAAAGAGGTGAATTAACATTCCCAACAAAGTGTTCACATCATGACAAGAAGAAACCAAGATGAAAAATGGTGCTTTTTTATCTTTGCTTCATTCCCGTTTCACAATAATGAGCAAAGAGGGGCAGTTGTAAGCACATTTTTTATAACCGGGCCTCGAGCTTAAAATCAACCCAAACTAGAACCTTAAACTGGGCTTTAAGCTTAAACACTAAAATACAACCTGAAACACATCTACCTAAAACTTGACCTGGGAACCCCAAACTTAAACCGGATATAACCTTGGTGGCCGCCCAATACCCCAATAGGAAATCACCCTTTTCTGCCCCAACCAAAGGCCATCCTGTTTCTGCCACAATAACCACGCACGCCAGCATGCACACTCCATGCCACTTGCAGCAGAAAATAACAAAGCAAGAAAAAATAAAGGGGGCCCTTTTTATTTTCTGTAAACTGGGTATAAAAACCCGATTGAAAACATTGTAAACTCTCTCTCTGGATTCGAAAATCCCTAAAAAAAAGAAATATTGTATTCTGGTTCAAATCAATAAACCATATTGAAGGTTTTTTTCTTCCTTTTCCTTAATTTCGAATTTATTTCTTTATTCATGTGTTCTTGATTTGTCCATTTCTAAACCCAGCAGTAAATTTTTTTTAGTTCGAATTATATCCTGTTTTCGTAAAAAATCTCTAATAATTAAAAAAACAAAACCTTTGCATGTTTAAATAAAATAAAACAGATTTCATTTTTTTAATCGAATATAATCTAACCTAACAAGCAACCAATGATCCCAGTACATATTTACAGCAAAAAAGTATGAAAAATAAAAATGGGTAAATTAGAATCATACCTGAGCCGAAAATGGGTTGTTGGAGTCCGGCCCGAACGGTTTTGGCATTTTTGGGTAATTCTAGAGGGTTTTCGATGGTTTTAAGCCCTAAAATAGGCTCTAGGAGGTTAGATTTGGGTTCGGGGTGATTTTGGGGTCATTTCGGTGTTTTTGTCCACCGCGTACGGTGGCCGAACGACGGTTGGAGCTAGTTCTGGGTCGGCCGGTCGAGGGAAGGGGAGAGTGTTTGTCTGTTTATCTTGTGTTTGTTGCTTAAAATGAAAAAAAAACAAAAAGATTGGTATATATAGAAAAACTTTAGGGTTTTATCGCGTTTTACCTTGGAGTTTTGCTGTGTTTTTGTATTTTGGTCCTTACAGGGACCAAAATTGCTATTTTTCTCTTTTTGTGCATACGTGTAAATATTTTAGTAAATTCACTATTTGGTCCTTCTAACTTTAGCGTGTTTTTACATTTTGGTCACCTATAGGGACCAAAATTGTAATTTTCCCTTTTCTTGCATTTTTATTTTATTTTGGTGATATTTCTTTTTAGTCCCTGTAAGTTTGCCATGTTTTTGCATAATAGTCATGTGTAGTGACTATTTAATTTCTTTAAAAATATATGTGGATCGATTCTTTAATTTTTCCCTCTTAATTTCACAGATTACGTTTTAGGCTTAAATAAAATGAAAAAGTACTCATAGGTCCCTGAATAATATGTGTGTTTTGTGTTTTTGTCACAAATTTGTTTAGTTTTATTTTATTTCGAATTATACTTTACTTTTCAATTTGTTTTAATTTAGCCCTTTTTTCATGTTTAATTTATTCCCTTATAGTTTAGTAATTTCAAATTTATACAATTAGGTCCTTATATTTAGGTTTATTTTATTTTTTATTTGATGTTGTTGTTTTTCTTCTGTTTTTTTTTTATTTTTTATTGTTTCATTTTTTTTAAATTAAGTTTATTTAATGTTTCAATTTTTCATAGTGTAAATTCTTAGATTTAATTTTAACATTTGAATCAAGCTTAGCAATTAGGATGACACTCTAGTTTAATTGGGGAGCAATTTGAGTCGAGTTTTTATATAAGATGCCCGATTACTCAAATCGATTGCTCAAGTTTTAAAATTTATTAATAATTAATATTTTTTTTAAAATGCTTTAGGTTTAATAATTTAGATAATAATAAGGTTTTTAGTTTAGATTTAGTCCTCAACCTTAGAAATTACCAATTTAGGTCCTAAGTTTTTAGATCTTTTAGAAATCAATATTTTTTAGACATTGACCTTTTTAGTCCCCGAGCTTCGATTATAGCTTTAATATTGACATAATTAAATAGGTTAAATAGAGCCTCCATTTTTAACTAGATTTCAATGTAGTCCCCTTAATTTAAGGAATAATCCAAGTCAGTCCTCACGTAAATGTTTGAGGGACCATCTCGATTATTCGATTTGATAATTGATTAAAATCAAATAGGATTAATATTAGAGCCTACATTTTTAGGTTTATACCTTTAGGTCCTTTAATTTTCATAATTTGACACCTTAAGCTAGAAAAAGCCTTTAATTTACCTTAGCTTGATTAGGATTAAATAAAAATTTGTTTGATTGCAGTGTCTTTTTTAAACCTAAGGCAATGTTCACTTATTAGAGAATTAATGGTATATCTCCCCCAAGTACGCTCAGAGGGTGACTACTGGTGATTCCGGAAATAAGTCAACATCATTTTCAATTATTGCATCATGATTTTCAAAAAACGAGGCAATATTCAGTTATTAGGCACAATAGCTTATCTCCCGCATTTACGCTTGGGAGCGAATGCTATCGGTATCAATAAACGAATACCCTTTCCAACTTTGCATCCGTAATGATTTTCAAATTAAATAAAGATCGAACTCAAAAGTTTCCATTTTAAATATAGGGTAACCAACTAGGTACCAATTTTCGGGCTCTTGGGGTGCTAATCCTTCCCAACGCGTAACTGACTCTCGAACCAAATTTCTAGAATTTAACAAACGTTAAAACTTGGTATTTTGATAAACATAAATGTTTTATTATAATCACTCAGTTTTCATGATGTCCCAATCGCACCTTAAATAATTAGTGGTGATTCCTCACATTTCGGAAAAAAAAATTTTAAATCCCCAAGTCGGTATCGATATTTCTCCACCCGGGCGAAAAACGGTGTCCACATGTACAAATCATAAAGATTTCAAAAATAATCATATAGCGGATGCAATCATTTTTATTAGCATGATAGTCATAAAAATTAGATAGGTGTCTAATGATTATGTGGATCCATATAATGTAATTATATCTAAAGCATTTAAAATATTAAAAGTAGGCAAAAATTTGAGACATTCTTTAGATATATATGTTTAAATATTTAAATGATTTGAACCAATTAGAATATATATGATATAAAAAGCTTTAGTTGAATGATTAGAACTAAAACATTCAGAAACACACGGAAAGGAGTATTTAATCTTTAGTTGAATGTTTAACATGACAAATATGAAAAGAAAGCACAAACCCTAAACCAAATGTATTTCAAATATGTCTCTTATAGGTTTTATAAGAACACCCGAATGCGGATGCTTGATACATGATGACTAGACGGTGATGATTGGCTGCAAAAACTAGAGATTTGAATCTTGAAGTTTGGGCTGAGCAAGCTGGAGCTGATGGGAGAATTGTTGAGGAATATTGGTTGCAAGCTGAAGCACACTACTGGGTTCTCCTCCTCCATAGAAGGGGAATTCATCAAGCATTTGCTGATGCTCCACTGCCTTTCCTTCTATTCCTACCTGTTGGTACTCCATTGCTGCTCGGTTTTCTTGAATTTGTATGTGTTCATAAGAATTCTTTCCCTCTATTTCATCACAATTATGAAGTATGAACACAAAGTTTAATTGAATCTTACTTACCCATCTGTATAAGTTGTTGTTTTCTTCCTCGAGAATTCGTTCCTACACCATCCAATGAATCCAGGATTAATGAATTTAGCCTCTGATATCTTAAAGTGTATGAAATGAAACCTCACCTTTCTTCGAAGGTTATCCAGCTGTTGTTGCAAGAGCTCATTCTGCCATTTTTACATGCCAAAGAAATGAACAAACTTCAAATTTACTAAGTGATTGCATGAATCAAGTAAAGGAAACCAAGATTTTTAAACAGTACCTTTCGTTCTCGGACCTTGTTGACCGAGCGCTCGAGTTCTTGTTCAATTTGATCAAGCTCTTCGTATGGAATACAGCTCGTGTCCTCACCAGTGTAGCGTCTCATGCTTAGTTGAAGACGACGGGTTTCTTTCCTCAACACTGCCAATTCATTGTACAGTTGTTCCTATACACATATATGTCATATAAAGTCAAAGGGTAAGGCAAGAAAAGTTTTGGATTGATGAATCTTAAATACTTGATCAATGAATATGAATCTTACTCGATTGTCATGCTCAGGAATGCTAGTTCCAGTGACCTTCTGGTACCTTTCTATTAGGTGCTCCATTCTGCCAATACAAAAGAAACCCTAGCTAGCTAAATTATCATAACTTTTTTCATGCATTTTCAGGCCAAATTAGAGATGTGAAACTCAGATCAAGTAATGGGATCTTAAAAAAGTCAGCTTTCTATTAAGCAATATTGAGTGATCATGCAAACATGCCTTACAGATGAACGATGAAATGAATGAAAAAACCTGTAAGGTTCAGTGCAGTATTGGCACATCTTGCCGGAGCGGGAGAAGATGATGAGGCCGATTTGAGAATCGCAGAGCACAGAAAGCTCGTGGGTCTTCTTCAAAAGCCCAGCTCGGCGCTTGGAGAAGGTGACTTGTCGAGTCGTCTGGTTCTCGATCCTCTTGATGGGTATCTTTCCTCGTCCCATAATTACCCAACAACGCCTTAAAAAACACTTTGCTATGAATCTCTAGTTAAGGAAAGACGAAATCAGGGAACTATTCTCTTTTTTTCACTTCTAAAAACTACTCGCAGAATTTGAAATAATAATGGAAAAAGGACTGAGAAAGAAAGAAGAGGCGATGCTAATAAAGAAGTTCAAATATGGGACAAGTAGATACAAAGAAATGGGATGATAAAATGAAAACTAAAGGCTTCTGCAACCCTAAAAATAACTACTTTGTTTATAGTTTGTACTTCTTAAAAACAGGAAGGGGAGATATCCAGATAAAAAGAAAGAGAAGAAGAGAGAGAAAGATGACTGCAAGTTTTCCTATTCCTTGCTCGTTTAAACTCTTGCTCCTTTTCTGAAGCGTGTAGGAACAAGGAAATTCTTCCTACAATCCCCAATTAAGACCCAAATATATGCCCTATCTAAAAATTATATATTTAAATAAAACTTTAACACCATAATAATTCATATTATGTGAAACTTATCAATTTGGAATACAGTGATCGCGTAATTTATTTAACTATTAACTTGAAATTGGATTTATCAACATTGATCGAATTAAAAAATTGAACTTAAACTATCTATTGGAGTTGATTCAAGTGGTAAGCAGCTTGATATCGTTTAAGTAAGGTCTCGAGTTCAAGTTATTGTCTATGCAAAAAATTTCCATTAGAAGACTCACCCATCAAAACCAGGTGTACGACGCGAATTGGTCCAGATTAATCAACGTGAAGCCTTGAAACTAAAAGGACAACAACAACAAAAGTTTAACAATAAAATCAAATGATCATCTTAACTCAAAATAACCTAGAAGCAAAATGTTTCGATTGTATTCTCTCATATTAATTTGAGTGTATGTCGAGTTTTTTCTAGGTGTTTTATCATTTAATATTGTTAAATATTTTCGTTGTCTTTCACTTTAATTTTTGGATTTTAAAATAATTATTTTTAATAGTAAAAAATGATTACTTGAATTGAAGATTTTTACAAATAACAATACTCGTCTCTTATATTACGTTTAATAAATTCTAAAACAAACTACTTAAACATGAAAGAAATGATTCGAAAATTTTAAAATTAATCAAAGTGAATGTTAGGATGAGAGGAGAGCAAGGGAATGGTAGATTCGTTTGAATGGAAAATTACCTTAGCCATTAACAAAGGCTTGACCGTCAAGGAGGAGGAGTGGCATTATCAGCAATTTAATAGCAATAAGTATTCCTCCAATTGTCCTATGCGGAAACATAGACACAAGGGTGCTGTGACTCTTAACTACTCCTCTGCTCTCATCTGCCAAGCAACCTGAAATTTACCATTTCTGGAAATTCCTTTTTCAATTACAAAACCATGGTCATACAGGAAAGGAAAAAACTGGAATTTTCAAACCCAAAATTCATACACACCCTTATTGGGAAACGACAAGTTGTAACAATCCCATGACTGGGACTTGTAGATATCTATTATGATATTCTGCGTCACAGCAACTTCAACCAAAGTGGTAGTGGTAAAAGTAAAAGCTAACACTCAGATAAAAAGGTAATGAAATAAGCCTTTCATCCATGTATTTTCTTCTTTTTTTCATCCCCTAATGGAGCGACTTTTCACTACACGCAATCTAATCAAAAGTGGGTGTGGTGAAACACCAAACTTTGATGAAACGAATCAACAAATATGTTCAGAATTTTCTTAATCTATGACAATGTACACATATCCTGTAAACCCAGTTGTTTAAATTTCGGTCTTAGAGAAATCAATTTACCTTTTATCACTTAGGTCACTCAATAAAATTGGTAAATAATGCCTTAAATACCATAAGAATGTATAGACGTAGTACTCTAAATTCATAAATACAAGAAGAAGAATAAACCTCCAAAAGGTAACGTGCAGTAAATGTGTGTTTCGTGGTAAATATACACAGTTAATTCTGTTGGTCCTCAAACTGCTATTTAGAAGGTTGAAAAGCATGGGGAATGTTGATCCTCAAGCTACTGTTTAGAAGTTTGGAAAACTGCGTCATCTTGTTCATCATGGTTGATCTAACTGCAGATCCGATTCAAGGTTCTGAAACCATGTCTCTGAATACCTCACCCGTGAGCTCGATGACAGTTCCGTTAGGGATTAATGTGATTCATCATATTCCTAAGCATGACATTGTCAAGCTTTCCGAGTGCACCTACCTTCTTTGGAAGCATCAAGTTACATTGATACTCGATAGCTATGGATTGACAAGTTTTCTTTTCCAGTGATGCAGTTCTACCAGATGAGTATATTTCAACTGTGTCTGGTCAGACTGAGGTTAATTCGACTTTCTTGATTCATAGGCAGCAAGATAAATTACTAGCCTCTTGGTTCCTCACCACAATTGGGACTGAGGTTCTTCCTCATCTTACAGGCCTTACAACAACCTTCTCCATATGGTATGCTGTTTCTCGGTTGTTTGGTGCTCGATCTGCTGCCAAGATCTCAACCATTACGCACAGTTTGCATACTCAAAGAAAGTCTGGGTTGACTATTAGTGAGTATCTTGCAAAGATTAAGTCTATATGTGATTTAATTAATGTGGTTGTTGTTCTTGCTGGTCTCTCAATGGAGTTTGAGTCAATCATTGCTATTACATCCCGTGAGAGTCTGTCTTTGGAAATTCTGACCGATATGTTAATGGATTGTGAGGCTCGACAGAAAGTGTTCTTGAATGAAGGTATTGCAGCTAACTTGACCTGTTTACCTAAGGAGGTAAATAACGTTGAAGTGGATGCTAAAGAGAGTTATGCATCACAATTACATTCAGGTTAAAATCAAGACCAGCAAGGTGGTGGTTATCGTGGTCGAGGTCGAGGACGGAGTTTAAATAGACCTCAATTCCAGTTGTGTGGTAAGTTTGGCCATGTGGTGCAAAAGTGTTATCACCTCTTTGATCGTGACTTTACTAGTGTAACTGGAGGTGAGGAGCTAACTGATGATGTCCAGAAACAGTTTTCTCAAATAAATCCAGTTAAACAACAATCTGGAGGGCAAGTGTTCTCTCATACGATTCAGTGTTTCTCGCATATTCCTCACCTATTTGTTCCTTATTCCCACCCACCGGTGTTTTACTCGGCTGGTCCTGGTTTACCAGGGATTACTGGTGTGCCTCATGTCTCAGGATACTATCAGTTTCCTATATCTTCTGGGCAACCATCTTTTTCTTCCACAGCTCATACAGTTTTCAACTCTTCTGTTTCTCCTAGTTCAACTCGCTAATCAGTGCCTCCAGAAACTGCTTGGTATCTTGATACAGGCACTACGCATCATGTCTCAAATGATCTATCAGATTTTGACTCAGATACTGTTTATACTAGTGTGAATACCTTACTCTTGGGCAATAGTGAGGGGGTTAAAATTGATCATGTTGGTCGAGGTTTCTTACATACGAGACAAAAATCTTTAAATTTACAAAACATGTTGCATGTTCCTAATATTAAGAAGAAACTATTATCTGTCTCATAGTTCACGCGTGATAATAACGTTTTTCTTGAGTTTCATGCTTCTGATTGCTTTGTGAATGATGCTCAGACAAGAATGCTTATTCTTTGAGGGAAGCTCACGGATGAGGGGCTATATCAAGTGTTGACATATGATGGTCAGGAATCATGTGACAATAAGGAGGTAGGATTTCAAGTCCATAATGTTTCTGGTTCACATGATGCTTTGGAGTTATGGCATAGGAGGCTAGGTCATCCTTTTTTGGTTGTGGTTCTTTCGGTTATGAAGTCTTGTAATATCTCTTCAAATAAATCTAAATTCACTCATGTTTGTACTGCATGCATGCAAGGCAAAGCACACAAATTGCCTATTTGTAAGTTTTTGACTGAATACAATGAGCCTTTTCAATTGATTGTGTCTGATGCTTGGGGACCTACACCGGTTGTTTCTTCAGATGGCTTTGCTTACTATGTTTCATTCATTGATGTTTTTAGTCGATACACGTGGGTTTATTTAGTCAAACATAAATCTGAAGTCATGCAATGTTTTCTTGACTTTGTTAAAATGTTTGAAGTTCAATTTGGTTATAAAGTCAAGATGTTGCAGTATGATGGAGTTAGAGAATATCAGGCTCTGAGGTCTTGGTTTAGAATGAATAGGGTTTTACACCGTATATCTTATCCTGACACTTCTGAACAGAATGGTAAAGCTGAGAGGAAGCATAGGCATGTTGTTGAAATGGGTCTTGCTATGTTGTCTCAAGCCTCGTTGCTATTAAAATTACGGAGCTATGCTTTTCTGTCAGTAGTATATCTGATAAATAGACTTCCTACGAGTGTTTTGAGTGTCGATCTCTGTTTGGAGTTCCTTATAGAAAATTTCCAGAATACTCTTTTATTCGTGTGTTTGGCAGTGCTTGTTTTCCTTGCTTACGAACCTTTAATCAGTATAAACTGCAAGTTCATTCTCAAAAATGTGTATTTCTTGGTTACAGTTCTTCTTATAAAGGTTACAGGTGCTTGGATGATTCAGGCAAGGTCATTCTCTCTCGGTATATTGTTTTTGACGAGGAGGAGTTTCCTTATAAGAAAGCAAGTTGTGTTGATTGCTCATGTACTCGAGGTAAGTCTGATGTAACCACTGGTGTGCTGCTTGTTGTTATTCCTGGTATTGGCAATTGCTCTACTCATGATGCTAGACATAGTAAGGAAGTAGTTGTTACATCGAATAATGAAGAAGTTCTTCATTGTAATGATGTTAGTTCATCTACTACTAGGTCTCCTGCAGCTTCTATCATTCCAGAATGTGTGGAACCGCCTAGTACAATTCCTCCTGCAGTTTTTGTGTTTTCAGAACATGTGAAACAGTCGTCTACTGTGCATTAGCATGTTCCTTCAATTGTTGAGTATGTTTCAAGGCCATTACCTTCATGAGAGGACAATATACCTACCTTAGGTAATCTTCAACCTACTCCTCAAAATTTTCATCCCATGCTTACGAGAGGGAAAAATGGGATTCAAAAATCGAAAGCACTTCAGGTTGCCTTTCTAGAAAATGAACCCTATTC